TTGAGCCCAGGAGTTGGAGGTTGCTGTGAGCAGTGAAGCCACAGCACTCTACCCAGGGGCTCAGCTTGAGGCTCTGTCTCAAAAAAAAAAAAAAATCCTTCTGGATATCTTTATTTTCCTCCCTTTTCTCAGCTTGCACCTGTTTTGGAAATGCCTTAAATGAGTAATGAGCACTGTACATCTATTTTCGTACCTTTGACGCTATTAGATTGGTGGAAGCAGCTTTTTCTGTAATAACTCTCACTTGGTGCTACTCCTAAAACCTGTTACCATCCCTGTTAAGACAGCAGTACTGAAAAAAAAAATGGACCACAGGTAGAGGTGATTGGGAAGCTGGAGGAAGCTGGATTTTTTTGTTTTGCTTAGAAAAATCCTTCTAGGCTTGGCACCTGTGGCTCAAGTGGCTAAGGTGCCAGCCACATGCACCTGAGCTGGCAGGTTCAAATCCAGCGTGGGCCCACCAAACAACAATGATGGCTGCAACCAAAAAATAGCCGGGCGCTATGGCAGTTGCCTGTAGTCCCAGCTACTTGGGAGGCAGAGACAGGAGAATTGCTTAAGCCCAAGAGTTGGAGGTTGCTGTGAGCTGTGATGCCATGGCACTCTACCCAGGGCAATAGCTTGAGGCTCTGTCTCAAAAAAGAAAGAAAGAAAGAAAAATCCTAAAAGAATCAGTATTTTGTGAATTTTTTAATAAGGTAAAATTGATAAGCAGTTTATCAATAGATACTCCCTCCCACTTCTCCCATGACGTGGTTTTTCTACTTATCCAGTCACATGATTTCTTTTGCCTTTGACTTAAAATATTAGGGTATTGGGTAGTACCTGCGGCTCAGGGGATAGGGCAGTGGCCCGATATACCGAGGGTGGCAGGTTCAAACCTGGCCCCAGCCAAACTACAACAACAACAACAACAACAAAAAATAGCCGGGCACTGTGGTGGCACCTGTTGTCCCAGCTACTTGGGAGGCTGAGGCAAGAGAATCACCTAAGCCCAGGAGTTGGAGGTTGCTGTGAGCTGTGTGACACCATGGCACTCTACCAAGGGCAATAAAGTGAGACTCTGTCTCTACAAAAAATAAATAGATAAAATATTAAGGTATTTCTTCTCTCTAACGGTAAAGCCAGTAGTGTAATTAAAAGAATAGCCAATGCAAAGTGTGACTAGAGAAGGTAGTATGTGTAATACGAAGCATTTGAGTCAGTTTTATTTTGATTTTAGTCTTGTTTTCAATAAATCTCTTGTGGGTACCTGCTGATTTTTTTGGCTGTGCCATTTTATCTCTTTATGTTCTGTCCAGCCTATGTGTCATAGCATCTTTAAAACACTATTGTGTTTTAACACTATTTGGTAGTTTTTTTCTGTTCCTAAGTTGATTTTACTTTTTATTATTTTGTAGTAAAAGCTATCCATTTGACTTTATAGAATGACACATGCTCTCCCAAGGAATCATTACCTGTACTCTATGTACTCCATATAACCTCTTTTTTTTTTTTTTTTT